CTCGTAGTATACAAAGTGAAGGGACTTACGTTACAGACGTAATCATGCCATTACTTCGAGCTAGTTTAGGTGACTTATCAAACGGATATATCTGTTTGAGCACAGCCGAGCGTCAAAGTTTAGCGAGTAAGGTACATAGAAATGATGGAACGGAAAAAGTAAAAATGGGGAAAAAACCTGATATTATGGCTCTAGAAAATTGTGATGGGAAATTGGTGGATGTAGAAAGTTCTCGCATTGTCTGTACTGCCACTAAAAAAACAGATGATAAGATAAAATTATGGCGAGAATTATTAGATGGGAGTAGTTATATAAGTTCTGTATGCAGACCTATTTGTAATCAATTTGGTGTGGTCAGGATTCAAGTAGCTGGTAAGAAAATTTATTTAAATGTCCTTATTAACGATGCAAGCAGAATACCAAGATACTTCCATCTAGAACACGCAGAAATTCCATTAACTTCAGAGGTAAGGTGGTATACAAGAGCTTTAATAAGATTGCTACTAACCTTGAGAAATATTATAATTGTGAATAAGAATTTGTTTAAACAAGCAATGGAGCAAGCTGTTTCACATCCACCCCGAAATACTTCCCCAAGTCCCACCATCATTACACCGGAACACAATTATCAATAGATTTTTCTTCGTATATAATATATTTTATCCTGTATTTTTATCGTATATATATATTTTATTAATAAAGATTTTTGATTAGAGGAACATATAAAGTATCATGTGTTATTTTTTCGTGTACTGTATAATGGTAATTTTTCCGAAATAATTTTCTTGGCAAAGTTATATAAATTATGCAAGATCAAAGGAGCAAGCCTAAGGACCTATCTGAATTAGATTTATTGAGATGACGAATAACTGATCTCAAGACTGAAAATGCTGAAATTCCTGAACTTAGGAATAAATTGTTAAAGTTTGCCGAAGCTGAAGTTGAAAACAAGAGGCTGAGACAGATTATTAAAGAGAATTCTAGATGTGATGCAGAGTTTAAGAGCAGAATTGAGGAGTTGGAAAAAGCTAGCTGATACATACATAACAAAAATCAGTTAAATCATTTTCCCGTGATCACATGGGGTCATTTTCTTTGGCTCTCTGACACATGTATGCGGATTAACACTCAATTATTAATGAAAAAAATTAGGCATATTTATATGACAATGCTAATACGATTTAATTTTATTTCATAGATTGTGACAACTTGTCACAACGTCACGTGAACTTACAATGGATTATTATTACAGAGTAATGAGGTTTTGGCTCTATTTTTTAAAATCGGCATAAATTACCGAAAGTTTGGCTAATACAAAATCAATGTCATCTTGG